TATCTTGGAAATTATAATGAAAACAGTTCTCTTCTACCTTAGTAATTAGTAATTCACCATGAGTCAAGAACACTCCACTTTGTCAAATGATTGAATACATATACAGTTGCAAGTTAATCATGCCCAAATATACTACCTATGCAAGATCTTAAATTATGTTAACATTTCCATGCAAAGGATAAATGTCACAATTCCTAACATCCTCCTATGCACCTATTTAAAATATTCTGGCATTAAAAAATTCTAAACGCAAGATTGGGGTTGGCAGAGAGTTGGGCCCATTGGAGTAAGTGCTGGCTTAGTCGTGTGAATTGCTACAGCCCCCAAATGCCTCTAATATTCTTTACTCAAGAGTTGTGCTGCAACCTGTTAAGTCTCCATTTTTGGTAGTTTCCTCCAGAAATTTCCTCTCCCCTGAAAAACAAAACATGGTTTGGCATCTACAGTCTGTAGAAAACAATGGGATCAGTCTAAGTTATAGGGGTGTTCTGGTCACACACACTGGCCTGGATCTGGCTTAAAATGCCATGCAATTTAACCCTTTTCAAAATGGTATCTCAAAGGCCTAGGTTGTACATGTGAGATGGGGCTGACTCAGTCAATTGTTTTCATCAGACAGGAAAAATACAGTCAGGTTTTCTTAAGAGAATTAGACAAAAACAATTTACAGCCTCTGAAAAAGCAAGCATAAAATTCTATTGATAAATACACTTTGGCTGCATCTACACTGGCAAGAATTGCGCAAAATCTTCCTGTCTGTCTACACTGGCCACAAGTATTTGAGCAAGAACACTGATGTTCTACTGTATGAAATCAGTGCTTCTTGCGCAAACACTCTGACGCTCCCGCTCAGAGATAAGTCCTCTTGTGCAACTGTTCTTGCACAAGAGGCCAGTGTAGACAGGTAACATCAATTTCTTGCGCAAGAAAGCCTGATGGCTAAAATGGCCATCGGAGCTTTCTTGCACAAGAGAGCGTCGACACTGGCACAGATGCTTTTCTGCAAAAGCAAATCTTTTGTGCAAAGGCACATGCCAGTTTAGATGCTCTCTTGCACAAATACTTTTAACGGAAAAACTTTTCCGTTAAAAGAATTTGCGCAAAATCATGCCAGTGTATATGCAGCCTTCTACTGCACACAGAGACAGTACTGGACAGAAAAATCCCTTAATTTTGCCATGTCTCACTGGAAAGTGTTAATAAGTAATACCCAAGCAAGCTTTCCCTCTATGGCTGTGTCTAGACTGCATCCCTTTTCCATAAAAGGGATGCAAATTAGACCTATCGCAATTGCAAATGAAGCGGGGATTTAAATCTCCCCCCACTTCATTAGCATAAAAATGGCTGCCGCTTTTTTCCAGCTTGGAGCTTTGCCGGAAAAAAGCGCCAGTCTAGAAGCGGATCTTTCGGAAAATAAAGCCTTTTCCGAAAGATCCCTTATCCCTCTTAAAATAAGGGATCTTTCGGAAAAGGCTTTATTTTCCGAAAGATCCGCTTCTAGACTGGCGCTTTTTTCCGGCAAAGCTCCAAGCCAGAAAAAGCGGCAGCCATTTTTATGCTAATGAAGTGGGGGGGGGGATTTAAATCCCTGCTTCATTTGCAATTGCGATAGGTCTAATTTGTATCCCTTTTACGAAAAAGGGATGCAGTCTAGACACAGCCTATGTGTACAATACAAGTATCATCAAGAGGTAATAAAAACAAGGTTATCGGTAAATTCTACTTTTACTGTAATGTAGCAATATTCAGAAATCCCTGACAGCATGCTACAATGCTTAGATCATCACCACAGACTGAAGAATTTTTAAAAGGCTAAAGCAAAGATTTAGGAAGGGCTATTTGTAACCTCAACATTTACTTTGGTTTTCTAGCATTTGGAGACATTCAGCCATGTTCTTCCCCCAGGAGACAACAAGAATAATGCAGGTATTATCAGGGGAATCCTGTTTATTGGTGATATCCAAAGTTTAAGGGCATGTGTGTCTCTATGATACATTAACAAACAGGAACCATGTTAGAAAAAACGGCATTGCTCCTGGAGAAAAGCAGCAAACACATATGCATTCAAAACAAGAGCCAAAGTTGGAATAGTCAAAGTGGCTGAAACACTACCATGCACTTCCAGCACATACATCCAAGGAAACTTTATTTTTATAAAAAAGTAATAATATTTTTCCTACTGTATAGTGGTAGGAAAGAAGGGGAAAAAAACTATTTCTGTCCAAATATGCCTTTTCATATGAAAGTTCAAGCTTTCAGACTAACAGGACACCACAGAAGGGCATAATGACCTTGCTTTGTTGCAAATGACCTTTAATATTAAAAATGCATTCATCTGGTTTCAGCGTAATATAGTTCATTAAGAATGCCATTTGTTCTAAGTGTGTTTTACCTTATGCTCCATTCTAGTTTGTGATTTACTATTTTATATATTCTTGTATAATCGTTTGTGTTAAATTATGTATGTCTATGGACCTGATGGATTTCAAAAGCCACTGGATGAGGCTTCTATAGGTGTGTAAAGGAACAATAAGAGACATCTTTAACCTGATATTCCATATAACAGCAAGTTCTATTTTATTAAATTGGGGAAAATTCTTTCCAGAGAAAGGGCACAAACATTTTTGCCACATTTCTGACTGACTGGACAAAACACAACAGTACGTGTCCAGTGCACTGGTATGAAGATGGATGAGATAAGCCTTTCCATAGCTAAATTCTACAGTGGTTAACTCCCCATGAGTCCTACTCACAGAGTGCAGAATTTGGCTGTGGATTTCTCCTTTGTAGTAGAGGAGTAACCCTACCTGACTGGCTGATAAAAAAGCAGACGTCATCTCGGAAGACTGGCGTATTCCTGTCCAAAAAGTCACTGGCTAGTTCAACCATAACAGGCAATTCAGTCAATTCTTCAAGCACTTGACGGGTCTGGTAAAATAGAGAGGTCAAGAAGTTACAGTGTGTTTAACCCCATTTTAACAAAAAGGTCCTGAATCCAAAAAAGCCCTCAAATTGCTAAAACAAAAGACAGGACTATGCAGCACTTTCAAGACTAACAAGATGGTTTATTAGGTGATGAGCTTTCATGGGCCAGACCCACTTCTATGAGGTAGACAGTTCATCAACTATCATTCATGCTTAAATTTGACACTTTACGAATGGGACTTAACAAAGATGCTAATTATCTCACCCATTACAAAGATAGCTTCTCCAATTATCACCTCTAATATCATTACCTCACAGACATTAACCTCCCCCCCATACACCTCTGTTCTAAAATCTGATTTGTCTATTTTATGTGTGTTCGTTTTTTTTTTTTTATCCCTTTGGTATATATGGTCATGCCAATTTTCTTCCAGAATTTGATCTGAGGAAGTGGGTCTGGCCCACGAAAGCTCATCATCTAATAAACCATCTTGTTAGTCTTGAAAGTGCTGCATAGTCCTGTCTTTTGTTTCAGTTAGACCAGACTAACACGGCTACATCTCTATTACTACTCAAATTGCTAAGAATTGGAAAATATTACTGTAAAAACACCATCATGCAGGTCAATGAAAATATAACCCAAGACTATTCGCTAGACCTAGACTCAAAAGTCACACTGGATCCGTAATATGAAAAGGCTGCTTATGACCATGATATTGAAATATGATCCCTAGGGACAGACCCACAATCTGGAGTGGTGATGACTAGAATACCACGCAGCTGTTTAGATCAAACATTGTTTAAAATATTATTTTACAAAATGTGTTTGTCTGCAACCTGGCTGAAGAGGCTGATTAGATTCCAACCTGGTCTGGAGGGTAGCAGAGGGAGGGACGTGGCCTGTGGGCAGCAGGGGCCACATGGGACAATGGGGGATGCATGCCACAGTGACCTGGGGGGCAGCCCAGGGTAGCAGGGGCCATGCAGCAGACAGCAGCTGCTCCCCAGCGGAGGTAGAGGTGGCAGGGTACGTGCTGCTGGCCAGCGACTGCTTCCCAGGGTTGGGGCATGTGCTGCCCCCCTGTGGTCATTCGTGAGTATAACTGTCTCTGTTCTCACATCCCTCCCTTTCCATCTGATGCAAAACAATCCTATTCCATGCACATCCCATCGTCCCGGCACAATCAGATCCTGACCTTGATTTAAGTTGTAAGAGAAAGCGGTGAACCAAATTTGGTGGTCGTAGCTTACACTGTTTAGGAGGAGTGATTAAACAGACGGATGGACACACAGACAGACACATGAACTCTAAAATATACAGTAGACGGCAGCAGCTAATTCAGATCAGTTTGCAAGGAAATAGTCACAACCACTTACTGCAACTCCAGCATGGTAACTTGTCCCACAAGCAATCAGGATTAACCGTCGACACCGCTGAATCTCCTTGATGTGATCCTTCAATCCCCCCAGATTCACTGTAAGGGATTTGGATGGAAAAGTAAGGATAGCCCTGTTGCTCAAGGACAGATATAACACACCGATCCCCAGGGCCCCTCTGATGACTGTATAACTCCTTAGTCTGGCTCAGTCTACTTCCTAGCAGAGAGGGCGCTCATATAGAAGCAGCCATTATAAATGGCAACTCTGTCAGTAGAATGAACTATCCCCACACAGCCATGGAAGGCCCCTTCTCTGCAATGGCACTTCCTCTTGTAGAAATAGGACATCGTTCTCTTTAGCCGTGCTTCTGCTCTACACCACCCCACCGCCATTTGGCAAGCACCAGGTTTAAAACAGTGAAAGGATTAATTTAAATTACCAGTGTAATCATCAAAGTTGACTCTTCCTCTCATTGTGTTAACAACAGATTCTGGTTGCTCAAAAATTTCCTTCTGCATAAATGAACTGAAGTTACCTTAAAAAGAAACCACACACACACAATGGAAACTTCATTATACTATTGAACAGGTATGCAATGAAAAGGTGAACACATGACAACGAACATGCCGATTGTTAGAATGGGGTGATTTTTCTCACTCCTGTATGTGATTGTGTTAACAAGAAAGGTGCACGCTGCTGTTATTTGGCCTTTCACCAATGCACCGGGAACTGGTTATTGCTGAAGGTCAGACATCAGACTTGATGGTCCCATGGTCTGATCCAAAATGGCAAGTTCTATTTTCTCTTGGGGACCAATCTGGGAAGCAAGGGATGCTTCTGAATGGGAGCTAGGATCCTAAACCCCACAGTTTTGATTATTAAACCATTGGTTCCCATGGGCAGAGAACGGTCCCATATTCAAATGTAAAGAACTTTTACCCTTCATGATCTGCTGAAGTTCCATCTGCAAGGTCTGGACAGCACGTCCAGGGTGGTCGCCCGCTGTGCGTTTGATCCGGTGGATAGAAAGACGACCATCCACCACAGCGGCTACGTCGTCATCTTCTAGGAAAATCACTCTGTTGGTATGCTCAATGACAGCGCTATAAAGAGAACAGGTCAGCTGCCATAGGGCACCACTTCACAAAGGAGATGAGGTCTAGAGTTGAGCTCATAATCTCACATGCAATTTTTTATTTAAAGAAGTTGCACCGTTCACTTTCTAGTGCACCATTATTAGATTAATCTAAGGCCCCACTATAAGAAATCTTTATGAATTCCTTAGGCAAAGCCTGTTATGCAGCAGTGTAGTCTTATCATTCCAAGCAACAGACTGGGAACCAGCATTACTGGACTCTATTCTCACCTCTATACTAGAAAAACAGATTTGAAAATACAAGCTTTTAACTGATGCGATTTTAAATATGATTGTGACCTGAGCTTGGACAGAGCAAGCCATATTTAAATACATCAGCTGGTTATAGTGAGCCCTGTATACCTAGCATGGAAACTCTCTGTGTAAAAAGCAGGTAAGACACATGGGTATCAAAAGGCCACATGTGTAAAGCTCTTCAAACCTCTTAGATGCAAGTCAGTTACTGTCACACTTACAGGTGCTTCTGGAACAAACACTGTTACTTTAACAACATGCTAAAGAGTAGCAGTTTCATCAGGGATTGACCAAGGCTAATTTTTTACCAGTATCTTTTACCCTCCAATAGGGTTAACATAAAAGATTTTATAGATGATATGGGGAATTAAACAAGCACAGAGTCCTTAGAACAGCGGTTCTCAAACTTTTTGAGCTCCAGAGCCCTTTACGTAAGCAAAAATGTATGCGGAGCCCCAGCGGTCCACTGATTGTATGTGTTGTACTTACCGATGTTTCCAGTTTGTCAACCTCGTGGAGCCCCTGGAGATGACTCGCAGAGCCCCTAGGGGTCCGCGGAGCACAGTTTGAGAAACACTGCCTTAGAAGAATTGCACAACTCTCCTGATAATTTCTGGGTCAGTCTGTTTTTTTAATTAAGGCCACTATCTTCACAAGATTCCCATTATTCACCTCTGGAATCATATTAATTGAATAATTTGCACTAGGACAATGCCACTAGAATATTTCAAGCCTTTATTTCTTTAAGTCTTATTTAACTTCCCTTTCACCCACTCCTTGTCATCAGTAAAAAAGGGGGCATACAATGTACTGAGGGGCAACATCTAGTTGATGTTTTTAAGACACTGTAACAGTTAAGTGTTATTGATAAAGCAACAGTTGTATTAAGTTATTCATTTGGGCTCTGAATTTAAAGAATCTTACCTCGCGTCAGAAGCAAAGTAGTACTCCACAGCTTTCTCTTCAACGGGGAAAAGACAGGTGGTACTGTCAATACGGGAGAGGCTGCAGCTTCCTTTCTTGTCTTTACCTGGAATGTCGGACACTGTATTAGCATTTAGTGCCACCTACACTTGCACAATAAATAAGGCATTGGAATATGTCAGCCTTGATCACAGTTCCCAACTCACAGTATCAACATGAAGCTTTATTTTGAACACTTCACATTTTTAAGATCAAGGCACTAGAATCAATTTAACACTGATGAAAAGAGGCTTAGCCAAAGTGATCAGGTTTTTTTTTCTGGGCAATATATCGTTTGTTCCCATTCTTGAGCTCTTTCCTAGGTTGCTCACATGGCAATGAAAGCTTTTTGGATTAACTTGATGCTCAAAATACTACAAAGATGTTCCATACTTCTTGAATGTCTATAGAAAACATCAGTAAAAGAACTATGCTCGGAAATCTCTATGCGACTCTATTCCATTTCTGGAGGTTTTGAATTTATTCAATATCAATATTTTTTCTCTCACTCTGTCCTACTTACAAGTCTAAACTTTTTTTAGAACTGCTGGGCACACGCACCCTAGAGTTTGAGAAACAAGCAGGACTTCATCTCCCCAGGCTTAATAAAAATTCACCACACCAATCTCTTCCCTCTACTACACCTGTGCAATCACATGGTCTTCTGTGCGGCTCAAAAGATGGAACCCAAAAGCAAACTCTCTCTCCTGGTCCGTTTGTTAGCAGCGTTCACACAGAGGCTATGGAGCATGAGAGCACAGTACTGTCTGCATGAGTCTACAAGTGGAGCAACTGACAAATGAGCTTCTTATAATTTTGGTCCAAGCTTGTAACACCAGCAGCCTGCAATTTGGACACTCAGGCTGTGTCTAGACTACATGCCTCTGTCGTCAGAGGCATGTAGATTAGACACATAGGCAAAGTCAAATGAAGCCGCGATTTAAATGATCGCGGCTTCATTTACATTTACATGGCTGCCGCGCTGAGCCGACAAACAGCTAATCAGCTGTTTGTCGGCAGCCCCGTTATTCCTCGTGGGATGAGGTTTACCGGGGCTGCCGACAAAGGGCATTGATGTTGGCAGGGGGGCATCCAGACTAGCGCGCTGAGCGGTCAAACAGCTGATCAGCTGTTTGTCGGCTCAGCGCGGCAGCCACGTAAATGTAAATGAAGCCGCGATCATTTAAATCGCGGCTTCATTTGACTTTGCCAAAACAACAAATGTACATGGCTCCGTCGACGGAGCCATGTAGTTTAGACGTACCCTCAGATTTAACCGCTCATAGGAATAACTTCTGTTGGTCCAAGGGAGGCGTAACTAACAGCAATAATCTTTGAATCAAAGGATACGTTTTTGGGGAATTGGTAGAAAATTTTCCAAAAGCCTGAAATTTCACTGAAAATTCTCTATAGCATTTCAATATTTTTAACTATCTCTAGATTTTTTTTCTTAACTTCAAGAAATATTTAGCAGTGAAGACACTGTAATATAATTTAAGGAAAGTGTTACTTAATATTTAAATTTGGACAAAACATTGTAACAAGACAGAGAGCAACTCTGCCATGGCAGGCAGATGATTAGAAAAAGCAGAAGACACAGAGGATAGATGGGTTACAAGAGAAACTGCAAGTTTAGAGGACATATTTTACATTGACATATACTACAAGGAATATAATCTACAACCCTGATCATTTCACTTTGACTAAAATAGCATAAATTGGGCAGCATTTCAATTATAGACCATGTACTTCATTGATTTAGATGGGGCTCCACACAATAGCTAATATTAAAATTCATACAGCTGCAATTTAGTTATGTTTTCCAAAACCATTTTTTTCCTATAATCAAAAATAGTTTCATGTTGATACTGATGAAAAATAAGGAAGTTCCACTAAACCAACAGTTCAGAGCACCTCAGACTTTTTCTTTCAGTTTGCAAACCAGAAAACAGACAACCACCAGAAAAGGCAGAGCAATGGGTCCAGTGTCCCTTCTCCAATAAAACGCCCACCCTTGATTAAAGCATGCAGATTTTCTTTTCCCAGGCACATTTCACCACATCATCTTTATTACACTGGCATTGCTTTCCAAAGAGCAAACACCCTGTGTTGCACAATCCCAATGACAATACTTAGTGATCAGCTGTAAATACAATAGGAGGGCGTGCATATGCAAGACAGCACACACACACACACACACACACACACACACACACACACACACGTCTAAATAATGGGGAATGGATCAGCCTTGAGAGAAAATTCATGCTGTTTTGTTTCATGTAATAAAATGCATTAGATTCAATCTTTTAGTGATCACTACTTAAGTAGTTACAATGGTCAGTTTCACCTAACCAAAGCCAACTGCATATCATCAGTGGATATATGGGATCACTGATATAGGTCACCTGGCTGCCACGTATTACTATTTAATAGACACAGAGCAGCAAGTCCTCACCTTCAGAACAATGATTGCTATCTACTCGGGGCAAAAATAGGTGGAGATTTTGTAGATAATTGGGGGAGAATAAAACGAGCACTTCAAAATCCCTTGGAAGAAAAACTGCTGGGCATATTGTGATACTTCATCAACCCCCTGTAGCACTTTCAAGTATAGCCTAGTTTTAAAATGCTAACATGACAGAGAATAATATTAGCTTCTACTTACTATGAGGTACTTTCCGTGCTTACTTGAGCAAGGCTACCTTTGAAATTGCTTTGCGAGGCATTTGCAAAGACAGAGTGGCATAGGCTAATGTCACAGTCTTTACCTAAAACCACATGCCATTATATGCATTTCGTGGGATAATATGAAACCCGATTGCTAGCTACCAAAGGAAGAGCAGCACATCTTGCTAAGCTGCCAGCAGTAGGTCTTACCACAGGCATGAACTGTTTTTGAAAAGTGAGAAACCAACCATTTTAATGCAGTTTAATTAGACAAATTGTGGTATGCCACCAGACCTTTATCTGTGCTTACAGAGATGGAGAGAAGCCGAAATCACCTACTCCTTTCACTTCAAAAATTAAGTGTAAGTTGGCTACACTGACCAGTCCACGATCACCTCCATAGCTCCAAAACCCTCTAAAACATCATGACACTGCCTTGTTATTGAGGTCACTCGCTATTCCTAACATGTGCATCCCATTGTGATGTACCTACATGAAATTAAATTCAGCCCCAAGCTACTACGGAGACTTATCCCCTTCCTAGCTCCTTATGAATCCTTATAAAGAACTCTCCTAGTTCAACCTCACACTGTGTCAGACGGTGCGTGAAAGGCTATTTTTAAAACAGAAAAGGAGAACTTGAGAAAACAGATTAGACTGTTAATTAACAATGATTCATCACAGCTAAAGGCACGCCCCAAACTCAAGTACAGAAATAGATTTTTTGGGGGGAAAAAAGTCAGGATCTAAAAAGTGAAATAAACCCAAGCTACAATGTGAACCCCACTGTATCAATCACATGCTGCAGATCAGATGAACAGTTTGCTCAAACCACTTTGCTTTGGTGATGAGGTTTCTCAATGTGAAAGTGTTTTCTAATTCCAGTGGGGTATAATTTCAGTGTTTTTTACCCCCATTCCTTTTACAAAAAAAAAAAAATCTTATTTCACTCTTTTGCGCAGTAAATAATCCCACAAGGAACTCATGAAAGAACCTCTTCAATTAGCCAAATTAAACTCACAATATATTCAGAATCACTGTAACACTCATACTTACGGGAAAGCAGTTTTGGGGTGGATGTGGGGGGGTATTCTAAAGTAAAAATCTTTGGGTCTGTTTCATTTTGCTACATGGAAAGCAATAACCACATCCCTAAGGAGGCCATGCTAATTTCCCTTGTTATCAATTCTTTTTCAAAGAAAAGGCAAAACTTGTTGTATTATAGGTATGTCTCAAGTAGGCACCTTTCTCCAGTTCTATGGATATTCCACCCACAGAATGATCTATAGGTTGCACAGCTGAAAGTGTAACAAAAAAAGAAAAATAACTTCACACAATCAGTGAAAATAATCATTTTTAAAATGGAACAGTATAAATTAAAAGAGAAACAGTCTGTACAATTCACCTGTCCTGTACAGTACTGGAATGTGGTCAGTGGAGAGCTTGTGTTCACTTCGAACGCCAATCAGCAGGGGACTTCCTCGTCTGCATATTAAACATGGAGCGTTAAGTGATGATACACAGAGCATCAATGTACCAACCTGAAACTAGAGGGACTGCTGTTCAACACCCCGATATCAAAACCAATTAACCTCATCCAGCTTGATTTATTGACACTCTTCTCAAACAATCAATTGGTTAATGCACGTGAAGGAGGCTGCAAAACTAGGACAAAATTCTCTTCTCAGTTACATTAACCTCCCCCAAACACTGAGGATGCGGTTTTCAAAGCTCATTAGCGATTTAGCCATACAATTTTAGCTCAAATTAATGGGAATGGTGTGGCTAAATCTCTTTGGCCTGCCCCCACCCACTCCTGCCTGCATGTAAGTGTGTAACTGCTGAAATGTGCAACAGTTAAACGTTTACCTGAATAACAGTTTTTAAACATCGTGATTTCAGACCTGTTTTACATGGGTATAAGTGAGATTCTGAGAATGAATCTGGTAGTTCAGAATTTCTCAGAAGAGGGACCTTATGAACAAGAGATGGGGGAAAGAGAAGAAAAAAGTAAACTACATTAAAAAAAAAATCAGATTTTCAAACAATGCAGGGAGAACATCCCCTAGGTTACTCTCCTCGGACTGATACACCGCCATCAGCAGCAAGAAGAGGAAGAGTTTATGAAATTGCATTGGCTATGACTGCAGATAAAAGGAAAATATTGTCCACTGAAAGATACATTGTTTACTATAGCAATCTTTACCTCGTGCCAACTGCTTGACCAGGATAATGGACACTTTTAAATACAAGGGCAAAAGCACCTTCCTGGAAGAAAGGACACAAATGAGGATACCATTACAAATGACATTTACAGCCAACTTTTTCAAATACCAGCATGTACATTGCACCTATAAGAATATTCTTATTCAATCCAACAACTGTCTGTTGGTGCGTTTTTCAGAGTCAGTATTTCATGTGCCTAGTTTTGAAACCATGTCCTTTCATTCCCTTGGTCTAAACCAGTTATTTTTTAAAAAAGCAGGACTCCCTAGTTAGCCTCAACTGACTACCAATGTAGAAGCTCTTAGAGCAGTTCAGATGGTGGTGAATTGACAAACGGTGCCAGAGGTTCTCAAACCTCATCGCACCGCGACCTCAGAAGGGGGAATCGAAGCCTGAGTCTGCCCTAGCCCTGCTGCCCCGGATAGGCAGGACCAAACTCGGAGCCCCTCCAACCCAAGTGGGAGGTGGGGTGGGTTAAAGCCAGAGCCCAAGGGCTTCAGCTGCAGCCTACAGGCCTGTAACCTGAGCCCTGCCACTCAGGGCTGAAGCGTCAGCCCTCACAACCCCATTAAAACAGGGTAGCAACCATTCTGGAGTGGCCTGCCCACAATCGACATACAAAAGATCCAGCCAACAAACCTTTGTGCTGAATGACTTGAATCTATTTGCCAAACCGCTTGGGCTCTCACGCCATTGGAACACCTCCCACAGCCACCAAAGGTGCTATTCAAAATTGGTGCCTTGCCTAGGGCTGCTGCCATTCTCCTGTCACCCCATGGCTATTCAAATAGCAAAATAGCACCAGGAGGAAGCAAAGTGCTTTGATGCTGTTTTTATGCACAGGACTGTGCAGACGACTACTAATAAAAAAAACCCTCAGAAGATGGGGCTGATGGACCTGTAACTAAACATACATGCTTTTCAAGCAAGTTTCCACAAGAGGTCAGCATCTCTTTCATTACTGGAGGTTTACAACCAACCAACTTCAGGTCCAGTTTCAGGAAAGGAAACACCGTCTCAAAGCTTTCAATGGGACATAAGCACAAGCTTAAATCCTGCCCTAAACAGAGGTGCTTTCCTGAGACCGGGCTTTAGATTGTGACCGAGTAAAGAAACAAGCATCCTACTGCAAACACGCGCACACTGTGGAGAGCCCGTGGTGCCAACAATCATCTGATGCAATAAAGCAGAGCCCTGTGCATCTGGGGATGTGGATATGCACAGCTCATTCTCACGGCTATGAATGTGGATATAGATACGAACGCAGAGCACTACAAAAAAGCACCCACAATCCGTACTTTTAACTGTGCAACTTGCTGTCACGTCGATAGCCACATCTCCTCTAGGAGCACTTTCATCAGGGTAAGAATACCAGTATCTCAGCTAAGTACTTCTAATAAAGACACAGCTGTACAAGCCAACCTGTGTTTGTATAGCCCACTAAAACTGACCCTGCAAATGCAACAAGCTTTACTGATAAAGCTGGCACACACTTGTCAACACAGCTGCAACTACACACTAGGGGCTTCTGTCGGCACACGATGTCGATCAGGAATCAGACCTCGTCCCACTCCTGACTGACAGAACAATGCCTTCAGTTTACAGTCTAGAAGCTGAGCAGGATTAAACATTTAATTGAAAAAAATCCATAGTTTATTAGATAGGAATATAAATTCTTGTGCTTCAGAGCATAAACCAAACACTGATTGCCTGGAAGGAACATTTCTATATAGATTATTCTTTAATTGTCCACTATGGGGTTTCCTGCACTACTTACTAAAGAACACAGAATACAGCAGCATATTGGATTAGACCGGGGTGGGCAAAGGGGCCTCTACAGGCTGGATTCAGCCTGCCAAGCGGGTGGATCCGGCCCACGGAGGCCCTTCCACTCCCCTGCCCCCAGGCCAATTAGGACTTGGGGGTGGGGAGAAGTGCACAAAGTTTCCTCTACCCTGCCAGGAGCACGCAGCACTCAGAAGCATCAGGTGCTCCTGACAGGGCTGGAGGAGGCCGTGTGTGCTCCCCAGCCCTCAGGCAAATCAGGGTCTGGGGGCGGCGGGAGCATGCAAAGTTTCCTCTGCTCTGTCCTCCCCCTGCGAGGAGCACGCAGCGATTAAAAGTGCCACGCGCTCCTGGTAGGGTGGGAGGAGGCTTTGCGTGCTCTCCCTATCCCCAGGCCAATCAAGACAAAGTTTCCTCCGTCCTGGCCCCACCCTGTGAGGAGCATGTGGCACTTAGAAGTGCCGTGAGCTCCTGGAAGGGTGGAAGAAGACTTCACCCGCTCCACCACCCCCAGTCCCCATACTCCTCCTCCTCCAGGCCGATCAGGAAGTCTCCTCCCAGCCAGGGTCATGGGCACATGGGAACGGGGCGGGCAAAGGCACTCCCCCACTCCCAGACCAATCATGATCTGAAGGTGGGGAACCCAAAGTATCCTGGCCCCTCCCCTTCCAGTGCAGCCCAAGGCCACTTCAGAAATTTTTGAAGTGGTCCCCGGCAAAAAACTTATTGCCCACCCCTGGATTAGACAATGCTTGGTCAGACTGAGCAATTCCTGTGTTCCGACTTGAAAATAAAAACTATGCTAAAATATTTCAATGTGAGACCCGCACCAGGAGCTTTACTTCTGGGTCTAAAAACAGTTTTAATAAACTAATATTTAAATTTAATTGCTATATTACCAGTTGCTGGATAACCCTCTCCACCAGGGTGGTGAAGCTAATGTCATCACTTTCACGGTTGTCGTACATGTACTTGACAAGCTTGGCAATGCTTTCTGTGTCGGTCTCAGACTCAAAATCATACCCTTTGCTTTCCTGAAAGCAAACCCCAAAAATGCCAGGTTATTACGATGAATGTTCATTATTTGTATTACTCTAAACTCTGGAAGTTCTAGTCATAGGCTCCACTGTGCTGGGATCTGTACAAACTCAGGAAAGATGGTCCCTGCCCCAAGGAGATTACAATCTAAGTATAAAATAAGATATAAAGATTGATGCCAGCAGACAGAAGTACAAGGAACAGTGGGCAGCCAGATACGCAGGGGTCTCAGCACACCGGCACCCTAACTATTGTCAAGCTTTCTGTAGGCGAAGGAGGGTTTTGAAGGAGGACAGGGAAGTAGTTTTGCAGATGTTTTCAGGGAGCTCTTCTCAAGCTTTATTTGAAAATGTAACAAGTGGATGATGGAGGCTGGAATCAGGCCGATTGGAGGTGGGGATTGACATCTCCACAGTGAATGAAACATGATAGTGGAGGGAGTGGGGGGGAAAGAATAAGCAGAGAAGGGCCTTGACAACAAAGACAAGTAGCTTAAGACAGATGAGATGGAGAGGGGAAGCAGTCGAAGGGACAGGCTAGAAGGATGAGGCTTGCAGCAGCATTCTGAATGGATCTAGCAAAACAAGCCACAAGATGACATCATTAGAGACTTTGGTGGAGAAGAGTCAGTGGAGCACTGGGGCAGAAACAGGCTGGAGAGGAATTCTAGACAGGAATTGTGCCAAGCCTGTTCATTGAGCAGAGAGATGAAAGGGAGAGGCAGAGCTGGCGAAGTCCTGGAGAGGCAGATGGGATCGTGGGTGGGCTTGTTTGTTTGTTAAGATGGGCGAGATGCTTGTCTTGTGAAGGGCAGGGGACCAAGCAGAGTGAGAAGAGAAGAGGAGAGAGAAGCATGGCATCAGAGTGGGTGCAAGGGACATTGTGAGTGGGGCTATTCACCATGAACATAGAAAACAGTGGAGTCCTGCAGAACACCAAAACAGTCACTGAATAGCCTGGCCCTGGTTAAGAAGCTCACTAAGTAGGGAAAACAGCTCAGTCAAAAATTCTTAAGTCGTCTCAGCCAGCCTTGTACATAATAAGCATCTCCACGGGTGCCCTCTCCCTCGCATAATCTCTCTCATGCTACTATACATCAGGGTGCTCTTGATGTATGAAACTGGGTTCAGGGCCCCACTGTTGACAGCATAATCAAAGGGTTATGAAGTCCTGTGAACAGAATGGCCAGCTGGCATATTATTTCCATTACCGCCAAAGGCCAGCACATTCCTCATACACGGGACAGTGTGATCGATCCATGACCTGAGGAGGGGGATAGCTACCCCTAAGGCCTCTAAGCTCCACCCACAAATCAAATCAACACAGGGACGGCCAGATGGGCAGAGTTTATGACCACCTGAGATCATCCCATGGTCACCACAATAGCCATGAAGCCTTCACCTGTCTCAGAAGAGTTTCCACGTTTGTACGTTGAAATCACTGGGCACTATTCGCCTCTGGGGCAAGACATTTAGGCAGCTAATGCAAGGACTTTGAGGTTCAACTAGCATGGGGTGCCATTATAACTTTTTCCCACAGCTCAGGTGCACAGCTAGCTTTACTTACCAAAAACTTTCTCAGGTCTTTGTAGTTGGTTATAATGCCATTGTGGATAACAATAAATTCTAGTGAATAATCATAAAAAATGTTACTCAGGTCTACGATATAAATACTTTACATAGACAATAACAGCACATGAAATATTTTATTCTATTAAGCCTACTTAGACAACAGTAGCAGCATCAAAATAGTGAGCAGTTTCTGTAATACACAGCAAGTACTTTGCACAGATTCCCTGCTGTTGGCAAGGACTATTCTAAGTTGTCCAGGAGTAAAACCCGTAAGTTCCAATTCCTAGTCCTCTTCTCCATGTGTTGGAGTAGAGTTCTCACACCACCAAATAACCTTTTCAGGGCAAATATTACAAAGAAAACTCACCAATCTGTCCTCTTTTGAGGGCCGCTTATTTAACTTCCATGCGTTTTTAAAATGTACAGTAAACTTCCGATAATCCGGCACCTTTAGGACCCAGGGGGTGCCGGATTATCAGATATGCCGGACTATCCGAAGGGGGGGCTATGAGGGGTCTAAGGTGGTGTGGGGGGGGATGCCACCCCAGACCCCTCATAGCCCCCCCTTCCGATATTCAGGCTCTGCCCCAGGCGTCCCCGATTCAGCCGCTGCTGGTCAGTTTCAGCAGCAGCTGAATCAGGACACCTGTGGCAGAGCAGCTGGGGTGCTGCAGGGTTGGTCCAGTAGCGCCGCCTCTTGGCGCTGTGAGATCAACCCGGCAGCACCTCAGTTGCTCTTGGGGATGCCTGGGGCAGAGCAGCTGGGGTGCTGCAGGGTTGGTCCAGTAGCGCCGCCTCTTGGCGCTGTGAGATCAACCCGGCAGCACCTCAGTTGCTCTTGGGGATGCCTGGGGCAGAGCAGCTGGGGTGCTGCAGGGTTGGTCCAGTAGCGCCGCCTCTTGGCGCTGTGAGATCAACCCGGCAGCACCTCAGTTGCTCTTGGGGATGCCTGGGGCAGAGCAGCTGGGGTGCTGCCGGGTTGGTCCGGTAGCGCCGCCCCTTGGCGCTGCGGGACCAACCCAGCAGCACCCCAGCTGCTCTGCCACAGGTGTCCTGATTCAGCTGCTGCTGAAACTGACCAGCAGCGGCTGAATCGGGGAAGCTGGGGGCAGAGCAGCTCTAATGGTCTGGCTGCCCGGAGCACTTCCGGGTTCCTGATGGTGCTGGACCATCAGGAGTGCCGGACCAATGGAGTTTTACTGTATTTAATAAAGACAGCTGCCACAGTGATACACTGTGTATTAGTAATACCAACTCCTCTAACAATGTTTTCTTAGTATCATTGCATGCAATTCAAAATAGAGGTAATTTTTCTAATGTAGAAGAGGAGAATCTAGGCTAGCCTTCATATGTGCCCATTACCCAATATTGTTAGTCATGCTTATCAAATCAGGTCTTAGTGCTGAGGATGCTAAACATACACAATAATTATGCAGAAATCTTGTGACCAGAAGATTACAGAATATATTTAATATCTGCTTGTAACAAATTTATGAGCAGTACTCGTCTCAACAATATATAATTAGAGATGATCCTTTTTATACAAGCTGCAGGTTGAACCTTCGAAATCCAGGACTCTCTGGTCCAGCAACATCTGTGGTCCAGCAGGATCGTGGATGTTGCCAGATCAGAGAGCCCCAGAGCACGAACTGGCTGGGAGACCCGTCCCCCGGGAGCCCAGGAGTGGCACCGGCGAACCCTGTCCCAAGGGAGCCTCAGCCAGGTGTGGGAGAAATGGGGCCATGGTGGCTTGGAAGCTCCATCTTCAGGGAGCCTCAGTGAACTGGAAACTAAGTCCAGGCCCTGCAGGCTGGAGTCCAGTGGTAGTGGGGCCGGAGAGGAGACAACTGCAGGTAGGGGGAGTGTTCCGGGAGGCCTCATTCAGGATGAATCAGGCCCCAAAGGTGCAGGATAAGGGAGGTCCAACCTGTACTATTGTATCTTGGGTTTGTTTTTTTATTTTACACTACAAATAGGATGGTCGGCACAATTTATTCCATTTGAAAATCTTCATAAACTAACTGGTAACATCTCCAGGAATTCCAAATATCTTGGCCTTGTCTTTTAATCCCAACAGTTTTTACTGAACCACCATTTGACACAACACTGAAATCACCTAAAATTAGTTTAACAGATGGAGGATGAGGAACAGGAGATCCAGGTTCTATTCCCAGCTCTGCCACTGGGCTGCCAGGTGACCGTGGGCAAATAATTTCACCTCTGTGCCTCAGTTTCCCCATCCTTAGAATGGGGACAATGATACTGCCTTCCTTTGTAAGGGGTTTGAGATAATGGAACAGAAAGCACTAAGTACTCTTGTTCTTATACCCAGCTCTGCCACAAATCACCTTGCTTTTTCTGATTTTTCCTCATCAGTAAGTGAGAATGCTAATAATGACACAAGTAAATTATCACTGTCTGTAAAGCACTTGAGATTCAAGCTGGTGCATAGATGAAATGACTTATAACAATAACAATCCTAGAATCCTAGAGCTGGAAGAGACCTCAGGAGGTCATCAAGTCCAGTCCCCTGCCCAAGGCAGGACCAATGCCAATGATAAAATAGGCTGGAGCTGTTCTCATTGAGGTCAATGGCCAAATGCCTGTGGGCTTCAAAAGAAGCAAGATGAAGACCACAGCTTGAAACAGAATATGTATTCTGTATGCTCTGCCTCCAAGCACGTGCTTTCAAAGAGGGACAGACCACACTGCACCAATGGAATTTCAGTATGAACCCCCTTGGCATGTGAAAGGCAACCTAGTGAGTGATCCTCCTTCATCCCAAGGGGCTGCAAGATGGTCATAGCCAAGAGGATATAGGGCAGTTTTGCCAACTGCATTTATATACCTAGAATGAACCGTAGCAGCGCTTTGGATGCAGAGGGAGCGCACGGCTCTCACAGTCAGTGTTGTGTGCAATCAGCATGCACCTCGCTTCATGTGTGTGTCACTTTGGTAATACCAGTGGGAAAAAGCTACGCAGATGAAAAGCAGCGGAGTCTGGTAACCCTGCGCATGGGCAGCAGTAAACTAAATGTCTCATGGGCCACACATAGATCCCCAAAGGGCCGCAGGTTGCCTACTACTGCCCTGGAAGTATTGAATAAGTGGCAGTTTGCAAGAGCATATTCACTGCTCCGATTTCCTTTACTCTCTCCGTTCACACAAATAACGCCGGCTTACCATTATTTTTATCTGAGCGCTGAGGGTGGCTGTTTACGGGACTGGGCTCACCATGAGTAGCCCATCGGGTATGTGCGATGCCAAGATGTACATCAAACTCGATATCCAGGTCCATATCTTGTTGCTCTGCAGACAGAAATGCAAAAATGTCACATTATTAGGAAATGAACTAATTCACACTAAAGCCTACCTAAGAGATGGGTCTGACTTTGTGCGCCTAACAGGCAATGCAGGAAGTTACATAGACACTGAAATATTCAAGTAAAAATATAAATCAGAAAATTATGAGCACAATGTAAGCAAAACACCAGGTATGGTTATTGCAGTCAAGACCACGTTCAAGGCCCAAGCCAATAAAATGATGATTTCTCATATAATCAAGGATTTTCCATATGATACACACATCCTGTGCCCCCTTCATTGGAGCCACTTTATTGATTAGTACCGCTGACTCGAGTAAAGGTTTGCAGCATCAAAGATCAAACGTTTAATGTAACTGTCGATGTTTTAATATAAATTGATTAATTTATTTTCTTCTAGGCCCATACACTTCCTGAAAATAAGAGTGGAGCATTCTGAATATTGCCTATGAAAATCAAAGCTGTCTGTGAGCCAGGTGTGGAATATTCCCTAAGCTTGTATTAGGGCAAAACGTATCCCAACACCAGGACATTTACAACAAGTCTTTTGGTTTTCACCAAGAATCTCTCTGTCTCGGAGCTTGTTTCCACTATGCCAGGGATCAATGCTGCAACGATACAGCAGCTGTTGATTTATCAGGTCTGCTTAGCCACGATAAATCGATCTCTGAGCGTTCTCTCGTTGACCTTACCACACACAAGACACTACAATAAGTATGTTGGACTTTAGCAATGCTATTAGCTGAAGTGATGTAGATTAGATTGATGACCGGGGTTAGTATAGACAGGGTTTCAGGAGTTCACTTATTTTGCCACTCAGTCCTCAATAAGAAGCCATCTGAAAATTGTTTACACACACATTTTTTTCTCCTGAGAACATTTTCAACTCTGATAACAGTTTCTTCTGCATGCTGCGGAAATACCTGTGAATTTTATTTGGGTAGCTTTCACATGCTTTTATTAACCAACAAACCAACGGGAACGTGATTGTGCAACAATGGGAAAGACTTACAAAACTAGGATCATAATTCTCAAAAGCACACACAATGAGCTATTAACACGTTCATAACACTTCTTAGTAAAACATAAAACTTGTCAGACAACTAGGGATGCTATAAATCATGCAGGGTAACAAATGTAATCGCTGAAAACATCAGTGGTTTCACTGTTACCTGCGCTGCGAATTTAGCTTTATACTGCAAAGCCCACAGTGAAGCCTCCTCCTGGGAGCCAGGTGGGCAGCTCTTGCATCAGCATTGGGATAAATGGTTAATGAGTTATACACTAACATCCCTTACACAACAATTTAGTGTCCTCTAAAGGCTACAAACGGACAATCAAGCCTTTTTCACAAAAACTTCAGCCAGAACAGGGCAGAAACCTGTAAACGGAGTAAGAGCTCACATACCAAGAACAGGTTCGACTTCTATGGCATCTCTCGGGGGTTCCCAGGCTGGAGCACTCACAGGGAAAAGCCGGGCCCTGACTCAGCAACTCCTCCCCCACCCTCTCAGAGCTCCTGGTCTGCTGCAGCTCAGGGAGGGAGTCAGAGGGAGGAGTAGGAAGGGGAACGCTCAGGGGAAGACCCCTGGGGCTGAGGGCCAGCAATACAGCCCCAGAGCCAGTGGCATGAGCCGGGAGTACAGCTCGGCTGCGGCGGGACTGCATTCCAAACAGGTGAGTGCTAACAGGGAATTTTGAGAGGGAGTTCTCCAGGTGAAGGAGAAGCAGATACAGGACTCTTGAGGGAAGTGCGTGTTGTATTTGGGGCTTTCTTGCTGTGTGCTGAGCTTGTGTTTGTGAGTGAGGGTTGGTGTGTGTTCTTTTTTGTTTTTTGTTTATTTATTTATTTATTTACCCCTGTGTTTGAGAGTGAGGCTTTTTTCCCCCCCACCTCCCCTCTGCCCTCCCCCTCCCCTTCCCCTTGATGGAGTTTGTGCTGTGATTGGCAGGTGGGAACTGTTGGCTTCTAATTAAAGTTTATTTTATCTCTAATTAAAATTCTAGAAGCCTCTGCTGATTTGCTGAGCCTTGGTAGAGGGAGGGACATTCAGGCACTCCAGGTCTTTATAAGGCAGTGGGCAAGCGACAAAGGAGCTTGCGAACAGGACAACGGCGATGGATGGTGATAGGTCTGCTGTTGTTACCTGCACAGTGTGCCATGTTTGTCTTCCTCCCGGAAGAAAGAACGGATTTCATCTGCACGAAGTGCAAGCTGGTCACCATTTTGGGAGAAAAAATTAGAGGACTGGAGGCCCAAGTGTCGACCCTACGCTCGATCAGAGAGGATGAAGACTTCCTCGATAGAAGGCAGCGTTTAATCCTTCAAGCACGGCAGGCGGAAGAGCCAGAGAGGGCAGAACGGGACCAGGAAGAGAACTGGCAGCATGTAACTTCTAGAAGGGGGAAAAGGCCAGCATAGGAATCCCCCAATGCTATAGAGGTAAGTAATCGCTTTTAGGCTCTCTCCATAGGCTCTGCAGTGCTGAATGCTTTGGAAGGGACCTCACAAGGAAGAAATCGGAAGGGAACACCATCTACTGGAAGGCATGGGATGCGTAGTCCTAGGGATGGGGGTTCCACAGCCACCACCCCCAAAAGAAAACGACGGGTGGTGGTGGGGCTCTGCAGTGCTGAATGCTTTGGAAGGGACCTCACAAGGAAGAAATCGGAAGGGAACACCATCTACTGGAAGGCATGGGATGCGTAGTCCTAGGGATGGGGGTTCCACAGCCACCACCCCCAAAAGAAAACGACGGGTGGTGGTGGTCGAGGATGTGACTGAGAGGCTTACCAAACTGATCAACCCTTCGGATTGCTACCCCTTCCTGCTTCTCCACATGGGAACTAACGATACGGCCAAGAACGACCTTGAGCGGGTTACTGTGGATTATGTAGCGCTGGGAAGAAGGATCCAAGAATTCGGAGCACAAGTGGTATTCTTGTCCATCCTCCCTGTTGAAGGGAAAGGACTGGGCAGGGATCGTCGAATTGAGGACGTAAATGCGTG